GAAGGGGTGGTTTGGAGACCACAGGATGGTGCTTGGAGCACACAGCAGTTTTAAGCTCTGTAAGGGCTGGGGGATTTATAGAGGTAAAAGTGGGGTCTGAAGCCCCGACAGGTAGGCTGAAGCTAGAGCAGAGAGGCTGAGGCTAAGGGGCTGAAGCCAGAACCAGAATAAATAGGGGCCTACCCAACTCAAGGAGGCTCCCACCCAGTTTTGCAGGGAGATGATGGGGCCAGGTGCTATCTTCATGGGCTGAGCACAGTGCCGCCCCACCCCACACACACCTCTTGCCAAGGGGCCCCGGTGGCCCCACTCCCCCCCACAGGTTGCAAGATGACCCAATGGCAGGGGGGGGCCATCCCCAGGGAGGGCGACACTGCGGCTGCTTGGGGCTGCAGGGGGGTCAGGAAGGCCAAGGCAGGGAGGGGACTGGGACTAGCTTCCTGGATCAAGGACAACAAGAAGTCCTTTTTTAAATACATAGGGGGCAAAGAGAAGGTACCGGGTAACGGGGCCCCTGCAAGACACACCAGGGAATCTGGTCGTCACACCAGACAACAAGGCTAACCTATAACAATTTCTTTGCCTCCATTTTCCTGAGCAGGGACCAGATCAGCCCCCCACCGGGCACCCCTCAGGCCCCAGGGGAGGCGCACCTAGGCCAAGGGTCAGGGAGGATCTAGTCGGGGAACGTCTGGAGGGAGTGGACATATTTACATCAGCTGGTCCGGACGATCTCCACCCCCGAGTGCTGGGGGAATTAGCTGAGGTCATTGCGGGACACCTGGCATGGCTGTACGAGCACTCATGGTGCTCTGGTGTGGTGCCAGAGGACTAAGAGGGCCAGTGTGGTTCCCATCTTCAAAAAGGGGAGGAAGGAGAACCCAGGGAACTACAGGCCAGTTAGTCTTACCTCGATCCTAGGCAAGCAGTTTGAAAAAATTATTCTGGCACACATCCAGGAGGAGCCAGCAGGGGAATGCATGCTTAGGGGCAACCAACACGGGTTCATCAGTGGCAGGTCCTGTCAGACTAACCTGGTGGCCTTTTACGATCAGATCACCAGATCATTAGATGCAGGGGTAGCAGTGGACATCATCTTCCTGGACTTCCGGAAGGCCTTTGACACTGTCTCTCACCCCGTTCTCATTAAGAAACTGGGGGGCTGTGGTGTCGACACCCACACAGTCAAATGGGTCGCCAA